TTCCACAGTTTTCAATGGGCTAAACTGAAAACTCTTCACCACTTTTTCTTTTGTTTGAAGCAGGGTCTCTGTGTAGTTCAGGCAGGCCTTGAACTCTGCCTCCCAAGTGCTGGGACTACAGGTGTGCCCCGCTCCGCCCAGTGATCTCTTCATCATTTTAAACCTTGGCGTAAATATTTAAAACAAAGCCCACCAGTTCACAAAGTGCAGAGCAATGTACTCCCCAACTAAGCATCTTCTCCATGCCACAGGGTTCCTATAGGCTCACTGCTGCCCTCCCAGCCAGTGCACAGTGGGGACCCCCACACCCCAGGCACACAATGAGACAGGCTGGGGAAAGCCATCTGGGCAGGGTGCCAGCACCACCTAAGGCCCTGTCCTTATTTACTTGTTTGAAATAATCAGCGGAAAGGAAAATAAAGTACTAACTGGACTTAATTTACAACGCTTCCTCCCTCAGAACTTCAAAGCCTCTCCAACATGTGGACGCTCGGCATGGCCTGGTCCACATTGGCTACGCTCAAGTGAAAGTTGCATCATCATGTCCCCAGAAAAGCCCAAGAGGCCTGAGCACCAGACTATCTGATGGTTTATTTTAAGCAAAGCATATGACCCCATTATAGTATGAGACTCGGCCATTAATATTGTGATAATGTCTTTTTATTAGGAAAAGGCATTAACAATGATATTTCTCCACCCACATATTTCAAAGAAAACCCACTCCAGAGATCTGATCTTGCATGATGTCATCTACACTGTGCGTTCTGCTAGTTTGGGACACATTATGACTAGATCTGAGGTTCTCGGAGTCTCCAGGGAAAGCAGTACAAAAACAAAAGTATACAGTGAAGTCGAGATTTTTAAATGGTAAATGGACAGAGCCTTCCTCTTTTATATAAGTTTTTAAAAGGTAGTTCAGAGAACACTACATATATATGGGATGTTTGGTCCCAACCTGTGAATATCTTTGCCTTTAGAGCACCATATCACAACCTCTGGTCAAAGAAGGTCTCACAAGAGCAACTCCAAATGTGTTCACTGCCCTTGAATATCTCTTCACCTTTGTGTCTGCAAGTAAAAAGTAAACAGCTCTCTTTATAAAACCTCCTGGGGGCCGGGGATTTAGCTCAGTGGTTTCGCTGCCTGCTGCGCAAGCGCAAGGACCCAAGTTCAATCCCCGGTACCAAAAAAAAAAACCCCTGGCAAATGACCTGGGATAGTGGGCCCAGCAGGTTTCATTCCAGTCACCCACACTGCAAAGCCCTGTTGGGAAACAGATCTGAATTATAAGCTAAAATTGCCAATAAGGTGAGGAGAATATTTCTTGGCAGAATTTCTGAAGATGAACCCAAATGGTTCCTTCTGGAACACAGAAGTGCTATGGAAGGAAGGGGAGTATATGAAAGCAGGGGGTGGGTGTGGGGAGGAAGCAGGAATGGGTAAGGGTCACGTATGGGAGAGGGGAGAACAGATATGAAAATGTAGTCATAATGAGGATGGTGCACTTAAAATAAGGGGGTGATTCTGTTAAAGACAGGCTAATGGGCCACCGAGGATAATGACCCTAATTCTTTAGAAGTTCTACTCTCTAGGCCACTGGACAGCCCAGGACTCTTAGATGTGTGTAGGATTTATGCTAACTAATCTCCCTTCTGAATCGGAGAACAGCACCAACTGTGACATCACCAAAGCAGCATTTACAAACCATGGACAAAGGAATAAAACTACACTGAATGAAAATTTAAATGTTTTCTTTTTTTGGTTTTTTTGTTTGTTTTGGTACCGGGGATCAAACTCGGGTCCTTGCGCTTGCGGGGGCAGGTGGCGGAACCACTGAGGTAAATCCCCGGCCCGAAAATGTAAATGTCTTAAAAACCATTTCCTTGAACGTCCTCTGATCACAAAGAGCCCCCACATTCACACACACGAAAGGATGGCCACACACTCAAATACACATGCACAGAGGCTGGGGGCTCTCAAGGTTGCCCAATTTCCCTTTTCTCTCCTTAAACCCAAACACTTGACTATATTTTATGGACCTAAAAACTCCAAATTGGGCATTCCTTCCAGGGGACTAAACGGTGGCTCCAAAGCTAACTTTAAAAGAGCCAGGAAAAGTTAAAACCATGCTTTTTCCCCATCACAGTCCCTACGAAAGGATTCTTTCAGGTATTTTTCAGTACATGTTTGCAGTACACAATGATTACAGTTCTGGCGGGGAGTTGGTACGTGTACATATACATCTTCTCATCCCCTTCCCTTCCCCTCTCCCTCTATCTCTTAGTTCATTTCCTTTTGCAAAAGATCTCACCCTTTTTTTTTTTTTTAAACTATCTTTTACTTTGGGTTTCTCACATAAGAAGAATTGAGTGACATTTAAGCTTGTGTGTCTGATTTCTTTCACTTAAGATTATGCATCCATTTTTCTACAAACGACTCAAGTTTATCCTTCTTTATGGCAGAGTAGTGCTCCACTGTTATAAATACCGTATTTTCTTTATCCATTAATCTGCCGCTCCCAAGATTAGTGCTGCTGAATTGTGCTGCTATAAACACAGGTATGCAGGTATCCTATGAGAATTTTTACACAGATGCTCTGAACACTCTTGACACTGGTCTTCAAGAGTGATATCTCTACCAACAGACAAGCTGTGGTGCCTGAAACTTGGACGTTCAGGATGTTCAGGACATTCAGGTGAGACGCTGTATAAAGAAAACCTGGATAACCAATTCTCCTTTAAGCCCTCTGACCTGTCCCTACCCTCAATAGAGCAGCTATTGCCACACACTGCACTGCAAACACAGAAGGCTGGGAGGCACAGCCAGGTGGCTTCAGGACCTGAACTCCTCTCAGATGTCAGCAGGTGGGGCAGTGAGAACACAAGCTGTGCTTGGTGGCAGCAGCTATGTTCCTGTCAGACCCAAAATGCTCTCCCAACCCCTTCCAGCTTCTTGGAGGATCAGCTTCCTTCTCACTTCTATGTTAAAACTACTTCGCAGTTTGGAGTCTGCTGACAGGTCTAAATAAATGGCACATCCTATCTGAGGAACAGGTCCACTTGGAAGTACAGGATACTATCTTTAACTTTCTGTAGACTTAAGGAAACTGCACTCTGGTGTACATTTTCCATATAAACTTTTGCACTCCCTTTGTGATGGTCTGACTGGGCCCTTGTGGCTGCACCCAGACCAGTGCCATTTCCCTGCCATGACCTTTCTGCATTTCAGTCCATCCTCTACACTACCTCCTGATCAATCTCCAAAAACTACCTATGATCTTTCCACAACTTAGAAGTATATGTTCCCCCTGAATTCAGAGGACAAAATAAAACTTACATCTAAGTTTTACACTCAAGACTGCTATGGCCTGAATATATATATATTCCCCCCAAAGCTCCTATGTTGAAATCCTAACTCCAAAGGGATGGTATTAGGAGGTGGGGCCTCTAGAGCAGCAATTAGGTCCTGTGGCGCTGCCCTCAGGAACAGGATCAGTGCCCTTATGAGCGAGGACCCTTGAGCTCCCCCACCCTCCTCCAAAGGTGGCCACGGCAGGAAGTCGCCATCTATAAACCAGGAAGCAGGCCCTCACCAGGCCTGAATCTGCTGACCCCTGATCTTATTTCTAAGAAGTATGTTCAAATGGTTGAGTTACTATGGAATTTTTTTTAAGAACTTGACTTCTCTGTAAAATTTACCAAGTAACAAAGATGAAAAATGCAAGAACACACCAACCTATCTTCACTCCATTCCTCATTCAGGTTTCCAAATCATTTAACAGCTGATGTTGGAGTGGGGTATGGTAGACACTGTCGTACACCCCCGGGGCTGCACTATTCTTTCCCAGGATTCTTTCCCAGGGCTGCTCACAGGTCCCAGGTGGAGCCTCTCTGTGAATTGACTGCACCCAAACAGCTCTGCCTTGACTGGCTGACATCAGGCACAAAGGCCCGGGCCCTTGTCATGATGCACAACAGCTCTGACTGGCCCTCCAGCTGCAGGGCATCCTATGGATCCAGCTGCATCACAGTCCACTCATTCCTGCCCAGCCCTGCTCCTCACTCAACACCCAGAAGCCGCTTGTGAGCACCCCCAGTCACGCTCCTCACGGGCACAGCTCCAGCTCAGCTGCCCAGGGAACCTGGCGTAAGATGGGATGCCAGAAACTTCCCCTAACAACATTCCTCTAAGGGATCAGCTTGTCTACAAAGCTCCTTCACCACCTCTAAAATGCACACAGCACAGAAACCTCCCGCGAGTATATGAATGTGGAAGTTGACCATTTTCCTTAGGAGTCTATCTGTTACTTGTTACTTGTTTAGATTCCACTGACATAGGAGTGGGTATGTTACACCAAACCATTCTTTCCAAAACCTTCTTCTGTACCAAAATATTACTTGTCTAATCATCTAGTGGTTTTATTATGTACAATTTTGTCCAGAAAGTAACAATATTTGACAGAATCAGCCAGGCAAGAGGGCACCACTCAACACAGGAAAAAAATATATGGTCACTAAGATTTTAAAAAATACAAATTGAGCATTCTTAATCCAAGAATCCAAAATCTGAAATGTTCTAAAAGCCACACCTTTTTAAGTGTTGACATAACACCGTAAGTGAAAAATTACATACCATGAAAATTATTTAAAATATTATATAACACTACATTCAGGCTATGTGTATAAGGTATATATGGAACATAATTTTGTGTTTAGACTTAAGTTATATCCCAAAGATTTTTCATTATGTATATGCATATATTTCAAAATCTGGAAAAAATTCAAAATACTGCTGGTCCCAAGCATTTCAAATAAGGGATGCTCAACCTGTTTCTATCTATCCACCAAAGGTTGAAAAGTGTGCCCTATTCCCCATTTTACAAAAGAATATCCATTGAGAACATAAACTGAGGAGCCTCAGAGACTACTTGTCCCAAGAGAATGACCACCCCAGCCAACCCAGCATTTGATTGCTGCAAGTGCCATGTAAGCAAACAGTACCTGGCTCTCAATGGCTTTCCTGTTCTTGGGGTCGCTCACCACAGACAGTTGCAACTCTGCCATCTTCCTCATCTTGCTGTCCATGTCGATCTTCTGAAGCAGACTTCTCGTCTGGCTCTTCAGCAGCCTCACAGTGTCCTCTTTCCCATGCTTCTTGGCAAAAAGGGATGCACACGCAGAATGTATGGCAGTGACCCAATTCTCCAGGTCCGTCTGGCTGGTGGCCTAAACACAGAGGAGGGGGAAACTGTTTGAAGTGATTTTAACACAATAGTTCTCTCCAAAATGGCAGACTAAGCTTTGATGCATAAAACCCAGGAAGTATTTGCACTTCATAAAAAGAGTTTAACCTGGGCTGGGGATTTAGCTCAGTGGTGCCGCCGCCTGCTTCAAAACACAAGGTCCTGAGTTCAATCCCCTGTAGGGGGAGAAAAAAAACAAACCAGTTTAACTTCAAAAACACAACCAGCCACTCAACTCAGGTCCAGAGGGTCTGAGAGAAACAACCATGGCGGCCTAAATATGACAAGAAGCTCTAAATACATATAATCTGAACATAAAACTACACCTACTGTATGGCCTCAATTATGAAATATATCAATAAAAGAATATGAAGAAATAATGTACAATAACAGTATTAAAGTCATTGTCTTCAAATATTAGGAATATGGAATGGTTTTTCTTTTTCTGCTCTTTGCTACCTTCAGATATAATGACCATATACAATTGTTACAAATGAAAAATATTTTATTCAAAAAACAATAAGGAAATTTTGAATAAAGGATAATGACAAGTATATATGATTTTCAAAAGGCTGAAAAGCACTTTCAATCCATCTTAAGTCCAGAAATATCCACATTCCTACACAAGCCATGGAGTTTATACTCTATGGGCCTTGGAGATTATAAAACAGGACCAAATGATAAAACTTCTTAAAATGAAAGATATGTTTCCTGGATCACAAAATAAAATATTCATTTCACACTGAGCCCTAAGGGAAGTCAGGAAGATTTCACCTAAGGCATTTACCTGCACTACAATTCAGGTTAATATCAATTACTTTGCTTCACGGCATCATAGAAAGTTTTAAACAATTCTTCTGTTAAGCAGAAGAAAACCAAAGCTCAGGCCCTGACCCTTGTAAGTGAAGTCAGTTTGGGGACAGCAGGAAGGCTGCAGTTTACTACTGCCATGCCCAGGAAATCCTGTTGCTGTGAACACTACACAGATTTCTAGATTCCCAGAGTTAGCCTGCAGGGGCTCTAGGGACAGGATCAACTTCATCGAGATCTGACCCCAGGACCTAGGAGGCTTCCCATGATCCTTCCAGCCAGACACAATCTACAGCTGGCACTGTGTCTACATGAACTACTAGGTTTAGAGGAGGAGCATTGGAGAAGTACCTTGTGCTTCCTGGCTATCACTCCCATCTCTTTTAAGTTTAAGAATAATAGTTAAAAATCTCAGCCAGGTGTGGCCACATGCACCTATAGTTCCAGCTACCCTGGAGGACAATCCTTTGAGTCTGCATGTTCAAGGCCAGCCTAGGCAACACAATGAGATCTCATCTTGAAAAAAACAAAACAAAACAGAACTTCTCTAGCACCTAACGTGCACACTATATTATTTAAACCTTAGAGCAATCCTTGAAGCTATTATTCTTATTATTAACCTAATCGTTTAAGAGTCTGAACCTCAGTGATGCCGGGTAAGTGCTCTCAGATGACGTATGTACTCAACAACAGCACCAGGATGCAAACTTAATGCTGACCTAGCACCCAGGGCTCAGCACCACTATGCTCTATAACTTCTCGATTGCTAGAAAATTGCTAAAAGCAGATAACCTGAATTTTAACACCCTAAGGCCACGTCCACAGGGACGGAGACCTCAGGGTGCTTGGTCATGAGGGCTTTCCTGGAAAGCTTCTCCTTTGACTTCTGCTGCATTCTTGGCAAGGGCCGAAGCCTCTTCTGTACATATTTGCTAGGATTCCTTAAAAAGCCTCAGCTCTGGGAATCCTGGATATTTCACTCTGCAGATTGTGAGCTACTCCAGAGCAGGGTCATGGTGCTTACTCTCTGGGCCCTGGCAAGTGTCTCCTGGGCACAGCCTGGCACTTCATGGCCACCTGAGAAACGCCCACTGTACCAATGACAGGACTGGCCATGGCCCCACTGCAAACTTAACAGAGTATTCACTCTATTTCATTTCTACGTTGTGTCCGACCCACTCCTCATCTGAGTTGTACACATTGCCTCTCCCTGAGCCCTCCACCTGCACGGCACGGGCAGTACCTGGAAAAGGTAGACATCTCCAAAGGAGTTGCTGAGGCAGAACACGTTTTCCTTCTTGGGGTGTTCTGGGACAGACTGCACAATGCTGTCCTCCGCAAAGAGGGCACATCGTGGGGCACTGCTCTGGTCCATGGAATTCTTCCCATAGGTCTCGTAGAACAGCAGAGTGCAGCCTGGAAAAGACAAAAGCAAAATAATAATGTCCCCACCACCCAACCTGAAGGTCGGGAAAGGCATGAGGACATAAGGGATGCATCCACAAAACAAAAAAAAAGACCTAAATGAAATGATTATGTAGTACAAACACAACTGACAAGGAACAGCTGGCATCTGAAGGCCTCATTCTGCTAGCACAAACTCCAGTACAGTGTTAGATATGTAACATCAGTGGTAACAATGCCAAGCATGCACTGCTGCTTAATTCCTCCAGATACTCCACACACACTGGCTCCCTCAATCGTTTTTCCACAAGCCAGGCATGGTTGTTTAAGCCGCTCTCCAGATGAGAGACCTGGGAGAAAGCTCGCCTCCACACAGGTCCCATAGCTGGATGGCAGCAGGTTGGGGATCTATCCTCAGGCCCAGTGGCCCTGCACCCAGGTTCCTAAGCATAAGGCTGCACTACTTAGGAGACCTCCATGTGGGAAGCAGAAGAAAATCCCCCATTCAACTATACCTGTGATGTGTGGTAACTAGAAACTACATATATTGAGGGAACTTTGCCACTTGTGAGAAAGTACCCAGTTTATTTATCCTCCAAAGGCCATGTAACTTGATTTTAGTATATCTTTTATCTCACAATGATAGGAAATATTATAATAATCTTATTAACTTAAGGAAGAAAAATTTAAATATGCATGGATTTTTAATAGTACTCTAAAATGCTTATTTTTCCTCATTAAGCTAATAAAGCATTGCAGAAAGAAGTTATTAAAGGTCTGTTTTAATCATCAGATAGGAATGCCATAAATATTAGACAATATTTTGGAATAAATTGTTGCTTCTAACAAGCATGCAAATTTGTTCTCTGGAAGAGTGTTAGTAACCCTTCAAACTTCTATATGAGAAACATTTTTGAGTACCTCTCATGTGTTAAGCTCCGGCACACAAATATAAATGACATGGTCACCACCTGTACTCTGCAAACCCCTTTCACTTGACAGTAAGGAAACACGTGCCAGTGTCCCCAGCACTGTCAGTGAACACAGTCCACTTGGTGACATTTTATCCTACTGCACTATGTCCTCACTCATAGGTGTTTTAAAAACTATTTGACTCTTGTTAGTTTAATTGCTTCCTCTAAAACCAAGCCTTAATATGAACAAACAGCAAAGCACAGAAGCCAGGACAAGAAGATGCCTGCCCCAAGAAATAGCACTTCTCTTTCTATGCCAGTCAGTACTGAGCAATCGCTCCTCCTCACAAAGAAAACCCACCCACTGGCTGGGGTGCAGCTCAGCGACAGAGCCTGTGCTCAGCATCCTGGGGGGCCCTGGACTCAATCCCTAGCACCAAGAAACCAAATCAGACACCTCATCTAAACTGGCAAGCTGAGCATGTTCACATATTAAGACAAGGGAAAGGAACAAGAAATTTATAGCTAAAGCTCTTTCTTGCAAGTCTGAGCCACTCTCTATTCCCACCAGTGATGCAGTTGGAAACAATAAACCTAATCTTTACATCAGGAAAGGCTGTTCCTGTCTGAGGAACATGCAATATTTCATGACCTGGGACCCAAGGCCAAGGTAAAGGTGACAGAGCCATGCCAACTGCACCAAGTACAAATTCTTTCCAATGGGTCAACCTTTACTTCCCAGTTTCCCTAACATTGTATTCTAAAGGGCACAATTTGAATCATTACATCTAGAGGAAACAAATGTAAATGCTGGACGGGTACCAAGATGTTGCCACAAACCTCATCAACACCAGACTACAGCTCAGTGTGGACATTGTCAGGCCTAAATGGAAGCACCATATGCACAATTTTATGCCTATTCGATTTAAAGAACAAGAAATTAGTCTTAACCCCATTACATCAATTTTAACATGAAGGAACTCTGTGTCTCAAAGGGGGCTCTGGAGTTGGCACAACACAGCTGACCTGTGTTAATGAGGTCTCCTCTCACCCACTCCAGTGCTGCAGCCATTGGCCAGGACCTGTGTCCACCAGGCATGGGGGGTGGCCTGAAGGGATGACAGTGGATGGTCTCCTTGCCACAGAAGCAGAAAAAAATGTAAAGATTATAATGGTAGTGGAAGTTCAGTAGAAGAGGCAAACAGAAATACCACCAGTGGGAAGACAGCAATCAGTCCTAGTCATCCCTTAAATATACCTTGCCTCTGATATCCCCTGGTCCCACATTTTCACTCAACTCTCTGCTGCTGGCCCATCTCAGGGCAGAAACACTAGCTTCCTAAAGGCATCTAATGAACTTCTCTTCTGATGTACAAAGTACGCTGTGCATCTTGAGGGATATCTTTAGTGACCTGTGAACTGTTCATCCTGGGAAGTCTCTGTGAACTGCATGAAAACCTACTCATTAGGAAAGACAAGTATAAAGCAGAACCACCCTTGTTAAAACTTTATTACATCCTCCCAATCCTGAAAAACATTTGTGCCCTTATTATCCCTATGCATGCAACGCAAGCAGCTCACCAGATAGTTTGCTGTTAACTGCTCTCTATAGAAAACTGTTTCTAATTTATCTACTTAGATATTTGGAGTATAATTTTAAAATTCTGCCTAAATGAAATTATATGTTTTTAACTAAGATTAAATCAAAGAGTTAAGTCCAAATATTACAACTTGGACTCGAAGCCAAGAAAGTGGAACTTTAACATTCTGAATTCCCAGAAGAAAAAGGTGTAGAAAGCCATGTGGGAAAGGTCATGCTGAGAAAAACATCTTTATCACATGCCTAGCCCTGACTGAAAGGAAATGAGGAATATGTGCTTGATAACACTTACAAAGCACCCTTTATCTGTGCATCTTAAAAGTATTTTACAAGCAAACTCCAAGAGAGCAAGGCACAGGCAGGGAGATCCTAAAACAGTCAAAGAAAACTCAGGCTCATCCCTACACCTGAAGTTAGCAGCCAGGCATTCTGGTCTACCTTCCAGGGTGGACTAGAGGCGCCTGGCAATGGACTCTTCCAGTTTTTACATTGCACCTGCCTGAATCCGACTCAACTCCCCTGCCCCCAACGGCAACAAGGAGGCTCTGAAAATCTGGCTACCCAACAGTGTTGTCAGAAGCAGGGGAAGCAGGAAGGTATGGTTCTGTCTTCCCACTTTCCTGTGGTTCTAGAGATGGTGGTTTTTTTCAGCGACACATAATCAGCCTGTCCTCCATTAGTCCTGTCCTAACCTTTGGAGAATCAGAATAAAGCCAAAGTCCCGTTACAACACTAAGGCTCACTCTCACCCCATTTCTTACTTTCACTGGGATAAAGATTCCTAGATCCTTACATCATCTTCCATATGATATGGTCCAGAATCCTTTTACTATCAGGGCTGGCTCTGCTCTTCCAGGTGGGATATGCTCATACATACCTTCACCACCACCCCCCCATCACTATAGAGATGTACACAGGATTTTTAAAGCAGGCAGGCAAGAATTTTCAAAAGCATTAATTTTAAGAAACAAATTTTACTTAAAAACAAAAGAGGTACATGACACATTATGGATTAAGTGCATCCATTCTAAATATCATAAAAGTAAGAGGTAGCTTCACCTGTGATTCATAAACAATTCCAGATCCTCACCCCCGCTACACACACCACTACCCAATAGGTTTGCTTATCTCTCCAGATAGGGACACTTCACATACAGCCTTCTCAAGAGCCATCTTCTCGTTTATGAACAAGTCCTCTCCGAAACATATCAGACCTGCTAGGAGGGAAATGGCCAACTCTGACCAGGAAAAAGGAAGACTGTCACCTCCTTTGCAAAAGACACGACACCTCTCATGTTGGAGGTAAGGATCACATTCTCTCTTGTAAAGCATAATGACTTTTACTTTGGCCTTAGTACCTGGGAAACTCCTTAGGAGTCTGCAAGTCAGACATCTCACAGTTTAAGTTTTATTTCCCCCACATACACATATAGGAAGTGTCAAAGAACGGTACAGTAATACATGCAAAATAATAAGCAATAGCTTTTAAGCAAGTCAAACCTGCAAGTCTTTCTCACTTATAATATGTTGCAGTCATATCTCCCTGGCCTATCCTTAGGTAGCTCTTTGACTTTTAAGCCTTAAGACATAACTTCTTAGCCCTTCAAAATCTTGTCTTACTAGATCCAACATATAATTCCAACTTGCAAATCTCTTCTGTCATTCATATAAAACTGCTTCCCCCATATACAAAAACTGAGTAAATTCTTTGCCTTTCCCAGCCACAATGGTACCACAGGATCCAAATCTAGACTCAAAAAAGAAGAATGCAGTTGGGACAGGTTATTGGATCCTTGTATCTTACACACACTCCTCCCTGACACACATGGAACCGTGTTATTTAGAATGCCTCTACAGTGTATGTTTACCAGAGGGGCTTATGGGTAATCAGAACATGATGTCTGCTCTGCAAGGCTGGGGGAAGGGTGTTTTAGGGGCCAAACTGTGATAAAAACAGCATTGTATTGGCAAAGAAACAGACCTGAGGATCAGTGGAATAGATTAGAAGATGTAGAAACAACTCTAGACATAATCAGCTACCTCATCTTTAATGCTTTTGCTTTTTTTTTTTTTTTTTTTTTAGTACCGGGGATCAAACTCGGGACCTTGCAGTTGTGAGGCAGGCGATGGAACCACTGAGCTAAATCCCCGGCCGTATACTACCTCATCTTTGACAAAGGAGCCAACCATCCTCACTGGAGGAAAGATAGCCTCCTTAATAAATGGTATTGGAAAAACTGGATTTCAACTTGCTGAAAATTAAAACTAGACCCCTATCTTTCACCATGCACTAAACTAAAATCAAAGTGGATTAAAGATCTAGATATTAAAACAGAAACACTAAACTTGCTGGAACAGAGGTTAGGTAGAACTACTGAAGACACTGGCATAGGAAAGGACTTTATGAACAAATCCTCAGTAGCATGAGAACTAGCACAAAGAAATCAACAACTGGGATCTCATCTTACTAAAAAGCTTCTGAACTGCAAGAGAAACCACCAGCAGAGCTAAAAGACAAACTACAATGTGGGAAAAAATTTTAACCAGCTGTTTCTCAGACAAATATCTACTATCTAGAATATATAAAGAACTAAAAAAAAAAATCAGACCCCTCCCAAATATAAAAACCCAATTCAAAAATGGGCATCTGAAATGAACAGACATTTCTCAGACAAAGATGTAAAAGCAGCAAATAAACATATGGAAAAATGTTCAACATCACTGGTCATTTGAAACATGCAGATGAAAACAACACTGAGATTCCACCTCACCCCACAAAGAATGGCTGCTATCATGAAATCAACCAATAACAAATGCTGGTGGGGCTGTGGGGAGAAAGGAACCCTTCTTCATTGCTGGTGGGAGTGTAGACTGGTACAACCACTGTAGAAATCAATACGGAGATACCTCGAATAACTAGGATTGGAAGTCCCATTTGACCCAGCTATTCCTCTACTGGGTATCTTCCCAAAAAGAATTAAAAGAATCATACCACAGTGATATATGCACACTCATGTTTATAGCAGCACAGTTTGTAATAGCTAAAACTTGCAAACAGCCCAATTGCCCATCAACTGGAGACTGGATAAAGAAGATGTGGGTTTGTTTTTTTTTTATAAAATGGAGTACTATTCAGCCATAAAGAAAGAGAAACTAGAGACATTTCATCCACTTAAGTGAAATAAATAGGACACACATGTGTAAATACCGAATAGTTTCTCTGATATGAAAAACTAAAAGTGTAAATAAGAATCAAAATATATAATTGATATTGTGAAATAGGAAGAAAATGTCTAAAGGAATAGGGGAAATGGGAGGGGAAGGGGAAAGGAAAGAAGGGAAAAGAAAAAATATGAGAAAAGGAAAAACATGGAAACAAAGTCTTTGCAAATAGGGAAGGGTGGAGGGGGTGAAGGGAGGACAGGGGAATGGGGAAAAAAATAAGAACCAAGATACGTCATGTACAGGTACAAGAGCCCAATGATGAATGTAACTGTACTGTATACCTAAAATGTACCAATAAACTAAATGGAAAAAATAGGGAGCAAAAGAGGAAAGCTAGGAGGCAGCAGTGCAGAGGGCTCCAAGTGTTTCACACGTTTCACACAGGCTGTCTACAGGTGTGACTTCTATTTCTGCCTTCTTCCACGCTGGGGAAGGGCGCCATCTGATAACTAGGTCTGACTTTTGAAATATCACATTTAGATCCTCTGACAGAGACACAGGAGGGCTGTGGAGACTGCCAAAGGCCAGTTAGGCTGGGAGGCTGCTCCTCCTGTTTGCATCTGTATAAATCAACACTGTGTGGATTGAGGGCCTCTCACTTCCTCAAAAGACATTTAGATTTCTTTACATCTACACAACCACCATGAACGAAGAAATTATACTTTTTAAATGGCAATGCTTGAAAAAACTTGTATCATCTTACCAAAACAAAGTCCTGCTCCTGTTTCCTTCATGGGGGAGTGAGGAAGAGAGGGAGAGTGGGAGGGAAGGAGAGAGGGAGGAAGGAAGAAAGAAAAGCTGGAGTTGGGACTAGGAGTAGAGCTCAGGGACAGAGCACATGCTTAGCATATGCAAGACCCTGGATCCCATCCCCAGCACCAAACAAACCAACAATCAAAGCTGCACTGGCTGGTAGTAACAATTAGACTTTCTTAGTTCATAAAAATGAGATGCTAAAATTCAAGAATCCAGATGATATTCAAGCTGTGAAGGATACCACTTTGAAGCTCTGGAAATGTGCAGAATGTGAAATTTAAGACCTACATTCCCAATAACTAAGGTACATTTCATAGTTTATTTCATTTTACCCCGCCCCCGCACACACACACTCATATATACAAACAGTGTCAAAGAACGGTACAGTAATACATACAAAATAATAAGCAACAGCGTTTAAATTAAACCATTATTTGTTAGACTGAATAATATATGTGAAGGTAAATAAGCCGTAGTATACAGGTTTGGCAAAGGATTTATAGTACAGCATGCCCTGAGATTCTGTATCGAATCCCTCACTTTAACTCCAAGGAATTCGGACCTCAGTGACACTTTCCCGAGAGGAGTACAGGGAAGGAAACAACTGCCAGTGGCCCTCAGGGAGTTACAACAAACGTGCTTACCCTTAAGTGTTACCCAGTACTGTTTCCACTTCCTCCGAGCCACCAGCTCCAGCTTCCTTTCCTTCTGCAGGGTGACAAGGGGTTTGAAGAAAAGCCACCCGGCTTTCCGGACCACTCCCTGCTCCTTCTCAAAGAGCACATCCAGTTGCTCCAGTGAGCTCAGTGACTCACTGCTGGACTCGATGGTTTCTGTGGATGTTTCCAAGTGCTCAGTGTTGGTCCTGCTCATTTCCAACTCTCGCATGAAATTCTCATAAATGTTCTGCTGAAGGGGATCGCTGCCAATCGCATGAGTGGATTCACTTCTCTGACACAGGATGTGAGCTGAGCCCCCTGGCCACAGTAGGGCAGATGCCTGAGACGGCACCTGCACATCTGTGTTCAGTCCATCAGAGCAGCTGTCAAAGCTGGACCTTGGCTCCTGTGTGCAACACAAGTGACCACCGTCAGAGGTCAGGGTATCCAGAGCATCTGCCCCTCAACACAACCTCAGTGTCACACTGGTGGTAGCTAATAATGGTGGTGCAAAGGAATGGTCTTGTAATAAAAACACATCTGTAATTATCATGCCTCCAAACCAGAAAGAATTTTAGAAATGGTATTGTGCAACCCAATTTCTATCAGTGAAGTCAATGCTTAAATAAAATACCACTGGGTCTCCTAAATCAAACATATGTTTAGCATTAAGAAATCAGTACATTTAAAACACACTAGGGAAGATTTCTAGAATACATTTTTTCTTTGCAAACCGTGAATCAGTGTCTTCCGGGAAAGAATTTATTTCTTGAGATCCATTTTCCTTCTAGGCTATTTGAAACCTAAGTGAGAAAATCACTAGTTCCATGGCAGGGTGGAAGGAATAGCTGGGACCTGTTGTTCTGGAAAACCCCACAAAGTTTTATTCTCTCTCTGGTAATCACTATCCTCAACTTCTAGCTGACAACCCAAGTCTAGACTTCCTGACTCAAGAGTCTCTAGTATCTTATTTTCCCAGTTCATATAGTAAAAATCATGCCTTAAGGATTCCTTGTCTACAAAGGGTACTGGTTAGTAATTGTAGCTTTTTCCTTCGTTCATATTTTTTAACTTAATCTGGAAATTTATTTCATTGAAAGAATATACTTATTTATTTTTTCACATCCTTTTATTTGAGCACCTATTTTATTATAGTCACTGGGAATATCAAAGACATGATTCTTAACTTTAACATTTTTTTCCTAACACAAAAATCAAACAAGCAATTAAAAAATTCACAGTTGTACTATAATGGTCACCTATTTGGACTAGGTGTACTGAACACAGAGTTGGCCATGTAGAGAATTAAAAACAAAGAATGGTCTAATGTCTATATTGTCATTAAAGAAAAGTAACTGTCATGAAGGTTATTTGTTAATAAATAAATAAATAGCAGCAACTAAATTTTTCAGCAGGAAGTGAACTGATTCAAAAGGTATCGACATTCCAAATTTATAGCTCAGCTCAGTGGTGACAAACCTACGGCACGAGTGCTACAGCAGGCTGTTTGTATCACTGAAGGTGCTAAAAGGTTCACCATCGCTGGCTTAGATTAAGGCAGCTGCAGAGAAAAGCTAAATACATTCAAGTCTACTCAGCTGCTAGTATACCTCCAGTAATATTTCTTATGCACTAAGTTAAATGTGAGGGGAAGGTTGGTCCAGGACTATGGATTAAAGGCCTTATTTACAGTATTTCACAGTACAGAAAAGTTTGCTTTTCAGAAATTCATCCAGAAATCAAGAAGCATTGATTTGCTGTCTTTTGTAGGAAAATCATCATGATGCAACTGAAGAGTATTTCCAAGTGCCCAGGAGCTGTGAACATCTGAGCCCCAAACATAGCTATTAGTAATGAAAATATTATTTTCTGCTGTTTTCACACTATGTCCCTTAGTCATATTTATTTATACCCTGATGCATCTGCAGAATAAAACAAGTAAATCAGCTGCTGTGAGTCACTTGGGAAACTCAAAATATTTTAAGATTTTTTTTTAAATCATCACTTTGTTGATCTTCAAAAACTCCTAGGAGGTGAAAGAACACTTATTTAGCTAGTATCAACATTACTTCAGCTATGAATATGACTCTCTGACTCATTGCCCCAAAACACTGGGATTACCTCTGTTACCTTGCAAGAGCCATAACGAGGTGTTTCAAAACAAGCAAAATGCTGCCAGAGAAAAGCACACAAGTGACAAGGTTACGTGTGATCCATAAACACTCTTGTCATTGTTTCTCAGAAGACAGAGACTTCAAATTGTAGTGCTAACTATTAAATATTCAACCATAGCAAGGCAATATTTCCTCCTTGAGGAAATTTATAACTGATTTATAACTGATTCTTCATACACAGGCATGAGTTTTCCCAGTCTGCAATTTCTAAAGTTTCAATATGTAAATAGCCAATGATGAATTTCAGGCTACAACGGGCCTTTAAGAAACTTTAATTAAGAAAGTCTTTATCTCACTTCAGATAGAATTCCCAGTCACTATGTGATGAGTGTGAAGGTATTTGTTATATATGTACACAAAGCACATCATTTCCATTTTCTCCCAATCAGATAACCATAGATAATGGCTAATGTAACTTGACAACTAGGGCACTGTACCCAAAAATAGAAAGGCGCGTCACTCTACAGAAAAATACTGTACGACCTTACTTATATATGAATCCCAAATAGTGAAACTCAGAAGCAGAGAGGAAAAACAGGTTGCAAAGGGTTAGAAAGTGGGCAAATGGGGTACATGTGTCAGTTACACAAGATGAATACTGTCTGAGATCTAAACATACATGATCACGACTACAGTTAACACTGTTTTGTACATTTGAAATTTGCTGACAATACACCTGAAATGTTCTCACTCCAGAAGGATACCTATGTGAAGATATGATCATTTCATAATATGACTTTATTTCCAAGTATCAAGTTGTATACTTGGTATATACAATTTCTATTTGTCAATTACACCCCAATAAAGGAGGGGGGTGTTACTAACTCAGCAGCTAAAGGAAAATCAATCACTTTTCCTCACATACTAGGGAAAAGTACTATTATTCATACCTGTACCTGTAGTACTTGTCTATCAGTGCTTTCTACAAAGTATTTAATTCTTCCCTAGATACATGGTAGGATAATTTCTTATACCCTTCCCTTGAAATTAGGCATGGCCATATGCCTTGCTTTGCCCAATAAATGTAAGACATCAAATGTCTTGGTTCCAAGAGGAAGTTTTAAGATCAACACCAAAATGGGCACATCTATAATAAATTTAACCAGGACAGTATCACGGTCTCACCGAACCTAAAATCAATATGAAGTGTTTATTTGATTCAAGCATATATTATCGTCTAGCACATGTTTCCTCTCTTTCTCTCCCTCTCTCTCACTGGTGTATTGGTGTGCTATTCCTCTTCAGTTGTATAGGTTTTTCACAGATTAATCTGCTTTCAGGCCCTCACTCACCAGGGAAGGTTCAAAGCCCCATACATAAAAGACTGCTCTCTCGCGCATCACTTTTTTTAAAAGTCAAAAATAAATAAATAAATAAATAAATAAATAAATAAAGTCAAAACAAATATCTATCCATCACGTAAGACCTTCTGAACTACTACCTTGTTGGCATGCAGGAATCTGGGGGAGGGGCGTATTGGTTTGCTTCCTTATTATAGCACAGTATCACAAATTGCTCCCATGCTTAGATTGCAGTTTTTAAAAATTTAATCCCAATGTCTTTTATTTTGTAAAAGGAAAACAAAGGCCTAGCCAACAGAAGTGGCATTCTTTGAAAAAAAAATTTAAAAATTAGTTCCTTTTATACTTATAGATTTATCAATTGTAGGAACACAAGCAAAAAATTATTTTTGCAGGAGTACTGGGGATCGAACTCAGGACCTTGTGCTTGTGAGACAGGCAAGGCAACACTGAGCTAAATCCCTGGCCCAACACAAGCAAAATTTAAAAAGCTCTCTTCATATGCTACTTTTTAAAAATCCAAAAGTTTTTCATCTTATTATTCAATAATCACAATTAATGGTAGTTATCAACACTACCCCAGCCATGGCTGAGTGGAAAAGGTCTGAGGTTTCACAGAAATGGTATCAGCCTTGTTTGGTTTATCTCTAAATGTTCCCCAAAGCCTCATGCATCATAAGTGGGGCTTTTGGGCAGTGACTGGATCATGAATGTATGATACTTAGCAGTCGATTAGTCACTGATGAGTTTATAATTAAAGGTGATTTGGGAGGTAAAGCCTGGTTGGAGGAGGTGGATCATTGGGGATGTGGCCTGGGAGAGCATTAAACTGCCCCACTCACGATCCCTCTTCTGCTTCCTGCCTCCATGCCATGCCCTCTTTGTTTTCTGCGATGCCTCTCTGCTATGTCACCCTGCCTTGGAGCCAGCTGACTATGAACTGAAACCTCTACAAACTGTGAGCAAAACTAAACCTTTCCTCCTCAGAGATGCAGGTGTCAGGCACTGTGTCTCAGCAATGTTTCCTCACTAACTAGTCATGTGCCCCCAGGAAGGACCTCCAAACTCCACGAGTCTTCAGCTTGTCTAAAATGAGGGGGAGTCCTTTCTAGCTTTAAAGTTCTTAACCACTGTGTTCTTAATTCTTCAGGCACCAAAACAACTCAGAGTTAAATTTTCAGATGACACAAAGCTGGAAAAGGTTCACTTCTCACAGTTGCACTGAGCAGCAAGGGCCTGCGTGTGACAGAAGTGGTCAGCCGTATGGCAATCGGTCTGCCCTTGAGCTGTGAAGCTGAACTCAACGGGTTCCATGGAGCTGCATGTGCACCAGGCCACAGGAACACTCAGTGCAGACAGGAAATGGGCAGTAACCGGCTCCCTGACAGCATCGATTAAGGGACACAGTAGGTGAACTGTGTCAGCAGGCAGCTGAATGAAGGCTGCTTCTGGAACACTTGAGCCCAGAGGATGGAAAATATTTCAGTGTGGGCTGCACCCCAAAGTCCCCAGGGGCCATGTCCATACTCTACTATTATCAGCTGTTTGGGAAATGGGAGATAAGAAAAAAAGGCCAAAGAAATCTCCACTATTTTGTAATTTAGCCTAAGAAGGTGACTAAGGAGAAAGCAAATGACTATATTTGGGGATACGAAGAGGTCTTGGAGACAGGATGGTTATCACCTGCTCTTCATCTCATGGGAAGGAGAAAGGGCAGCCATGCTCAATCTGAGGGTGTTGATCATGGCAGGCAGGAAATACTATAACTGCAATGATCAACTCAGGGCAATTACATTATTTTCAACTCTTGAAGCTCTACACAATTTTATACTTATATATATGTCTATCTAGGATGGTTAAGACAACTGTGGTAGAAACTAATTGTCCATTCAAATTTCCTTCAACTCTTTGACTTACACTGAGCAACAAATATATAATATCAAAGGTTATTATCATCATGATTCATATTTTATCAGCATTATATTTTTGCTATTACATGTACCTGGATATATGACATTTTCAAAATCTGACTAGCTAGCCTAATGAGGACCAGATGTGGTCAGATTACACATATAGATACACAGTCAATTTTTTTTTTTTTATATACTAACTTCAGCAGAGAAATTTAAATTTTCTCCAAGACTTCAGAGAGTCTACTTTCCTAAAAATAGTAACAATTGGGGCCAGGGATTTAGCTCAATGGTTCTGCTGCCTGCCTTGCAGGCGGCAAGAACCCGAGTTTGATCCCCGGTACAAAAAAAAAAAGTAACAAGCTCTCTTATCCTTTTTGCTTGGACTTAAAGAGCTCTAGCAAAAATCCCCAGATAACCAACTCATCCAGGGATTCTCCCCAGTCCTATTCTTTCTGACAACAGTGACCAGGTCTTGCAATGAGGCCCGCAGAGCTCATACATTAGGTCAGAGGCAAGCATGAAATCTGGTGCTGTGGACTAATGCTTATAGCCCCTCAAAATCCTTACGTTGAAGCACTAACCCCCAGTGGGATGATACTAGGAGGTGGGACCTCTGGGAGGGAATTAGATTTACATGAGGCCACCTTGTGGGGCTATTGCAGGATTAGTGTCCTTATGGGAAGAGCAAGACGAAAGGTCCCTCTTCCCTACTAGGTAAGGACAAAGTGAGAAGGTGGCTATCTGCAGCCAGGAAGCACCCCCCCCCAACACAATCTGCCCACACTAGTGCCCTGATCTCTGGCTTCCCATCCTCCAGAACTGTAAGGAATCTATCTGCATTGTAAGCCACCTGGTCTGTGGTATTCTATTTGCAGACTGCATTCCTAAGACATGGAGAGACTGAAGTTATGGACTAGGGTAAAAATGTATGTCGCAAGCAAACAAGGAAGAAAAACACCCACCTCAACAGGTGTGCCACGTCTTACACTGAGCTCTTCCCTTTCACCAGCTCACCTACATGTCCATGGAACTCCTTAATACCATTCCTATTTAACAGATGGGGAAACTCAGGGACTGTCCCCTCTGTTCTGCAGTGTCCTCACCTGGAGTTTCCTCTTCTTCCTTGAGAGGCTTCCTGTCCAGTCGCTGATGCGTCGCATTCTGCCTTTGAGGGTGTCCTTCTTTGCAGCATCCTCAGTTAAGGCTTTGGACTTCCGGCAGGGGAGGGTGAAGGAATTATACTGGACAGGGTCCCTATGCTCCACCCTGGAGGGCACGTCAATGTCAGATGCAAATGAGACTCGATTGCTTAGGTTGCTGTGGGAGCTGATATAGTCATCAGCAAGGCAGAAGCCAGAGGGGGACCGGCTCCCCAGGTTGACATCTTTGTATAGATCCCGAAGGGAGGAGAGAGAAGAGCTTTGGTTGAAAGGCTTTTTGGCATCACCAGGTGGGAAGCTGGTAGGGAGGTTGGGATCAGGCATGCTGGGAGCTAGGAAGGAGCCCTCCACCTCACTCAGCTCCCCAACATTGCCCCAAGGTGAGTCATACCAGGAAGACTCAGAGCTCAGGGAGCTGCCTTTGCTGGAGCGCAGGCGAGAGTCAGTGGGAGAAGGGCGCTGGCTGACTGGGGAGTCAGCACTGGAGTTCCTCCTGGCTTTTGGCACAGGGCAGGTTCCTGATGCCAATGTAGGTGAGTACCTCAGCAGCTGCACGGGACCCCTGGGGTCCTCTGCAGGCCCTTTGCTGTGACTGGCACCATTGTGGAACTCAACCCTTAGACACCCATCCAGCTTCCCCAGCGTCTTGATGAGCACTCTGGGGCTACGGCGGTCTTCATCTGCTGGGGAGGGGGCAGCACTCTCACTTCTCCCATGGAAGTGGAGAAGGTGTCCATTGCAGTCTCTTGAGGTGATGTGGTTGTCTGCTGGCTTGTGGTCATCGCAGTGGAAGCCATTCCCCAGTGAGAAAGCAACACTGTTGCCCTGGAAGTCATTTCCTGAGGACCCCGCCCTGTGCTTGGCATAGGTGGTGCCTTTGGACACTTTGCACAAGGGCCCACTGAGTCTTGATGCATAAGGCTGATGACTCTTAAAGTGAGAAAGGCAGCTTCGGGCCAGGGACCTGGACTTGTAACCTGCTACACTGCTCCCTTGGGTCCAACTGTGCAATGACTTCTCATCTTTTGCATGAATGCTGCGTATTTTCAGGGAGCAAGGCTTTTGCTTAGCACCAGTAATAGTATTGCTATGGTTTTTAGATCCTTGAAGGGTGTACTGACTCTCGGAGTTGCCCATTTTAACCTAAATTAAGTACAGTCACATCAGTAAAAGCCATACAAAAGTAAAAATAAAATCATATCCCACTGCACCTGCCTCGAAAACACAAGGTCCAGAATTCGATCCCCAGTACCCCCCCAAAAATATCATATCCCAATATCACTGCACTTTCTAAAAAACAGCCTCTTAGGCGTTACACTAGAAACAATTAACTTCTTTCTGTGCCGACCCAGTTCAAGAGTAGAGAGCAGAGTTACTTACTGAATTGGCTCTCCGTATTGTGCAAGGCTACTACTGCACACTCATGTGCGAGTTATTTTAAACACATTATTTGTAGCTCAATAACACTGCAGAAATTCAACAGGCATAAAAATCAGCTGAAGGCAGAGACCTCCTTTGGGCTTGGTGGTAGCAGATTTTGAACTGACAAATCCTGAAAAGAAAAATTAAGAGAGTGTGAATTGTTAGCTCTTCCAGCCTTTAGTCCAGACAGTCTTTCAATGACCAGAGAGATACATTTTTATTACATGTAAATGACTGGGAGAGCTAACTCACCATTTATATTGGAGAATCAGATACCAAAGTTCTCGCATGCTCCAGTCCCTTATATATAATGGTGTGGTAGTACATTCATATTTTGGTATTTGATGGCTTTGAAACTCATAAAATTCAGTACTCAACATATTTTAATGAAAAAACTTTGTCCTGGTACTCAACATTTGATATTCAACACATAAGCTAAAACTGAATGACTTATGACTTGCTACCCTTTCCAGCCAAAACAATTTGTTTTTGGTTCCAACAAATGAGGAGAACCAAAGTACCACTGTATTTGCATACAACCAATGCATATCCTCCCAAACCCTTTAAATCATCTGTTGATCACTTATAATACCTAATGCAATGTAAATGCCATGTAAATAATCACTATATTATATTGTCTGGGAAGTAATAACAGGGGGAAATGTCTGTACATGTTTAGTACAGATACAGTTTAAAAAAAGTACATTCAATCTGTAGTTGGTTGAATCTGTGGGTGCATAATCCCTGGATACAGAAGCCTGACTTCATAAGAGATTAATACACTAAAGCTACATTTGTAATAACACGCCCCCAGCTATTCAGCTCTCTGGGAGTTCTCATATATCACAGAGTATGAGTATCACAAAAGACAAGTACTAAAAGTCCTCAAAAACAAAGCTGAAATTTTAAAAAGGAACACAATAAGAGCTTTGGGACAGAAAACATTTTAATGAAACAAATCTCTAGAGTTTGTCTAAAGACTTCAAGCATCCTTGCTTTAGTGTATGATGAGAGAAAGTCCAAAGTTGACTTGTTAGAAGGTGGACAACAGAATAAGGTCCTTTCACAGCCCCAGTTAAGCCAAATGCAAAGTGAAATTTGCTCCAAACCTTGCCCCATTTTTTTTTTCTTAGCAGTGCATTGCTCACTACTGCAGGCAAGTTGGAGCCGACATTTCCAGGTAGGTTCCCAGACACAGTTAGCAGGTTTTTAATTCTTTTATGTCTAGGAATCTACAGGTACAAAAGAGAAGTCAAATGGATTGGCTTTTCTTTGGTGACAGTTATCAAATATTTTAAAAACAAAATCACAGGACCAAATAATTAAATCATTATTTATTACCTAATTAACACAGGTATCCACTTGTCATGAACCACAAGCAGGCAACCTGGGATTTCCTGCAGTCTGACTTTTGCTCAGAGAGAATTTAATGGTCAGTCCACTTTACATGGTCTTGGAAGCAACGCAGCACATTTTAAAAGCATGGGAAATGAACCCATGTGTTCCTTGAAGTAACCCTGCAAAACAAACACAAGAAAATCCCATCAAGCATTTTATAAGTAGATTATCTGAAGAAACAGCTGGTATCCAGAGTCACTGTCAAGATAATACATGAGATGTCTACGAGTTGCCTGACTCATCAAAGTTGTTTGGAAGATGTAAAGGAAGCCGGGGCTGTCGGTCCATCCAGTCTCCCGAAGGCAGCAACTCGACAGTCTGCAGTCAAACACCTGTCTTTGTTTGACAGCAGGTGAGAGTGCTCAAATGAGTCATGCTTGGCTCATCCCTCACCACCACCAGGAAAACAGGCAAGACTCACCTGCTGGCAAGCGGAAGGGGCCCCTCCTGATCGGGTAAGAGCAGCTCATTGTTCTCTGCTTGACTAAGCAGTAAAAATAACGCCCCAAATGTAAAATCACAGTGAACAGTCCTTGGCTAAATTAAGTTTGGTTACAGAAGCTGACCTCATCAACCACATTAAAAGTGTTCTCAAATACGTGTTAGGAGAGTGAGGGGCCTGCCTCAGAGGGATAAGGCAGGGTTTCTGAGAGGAAAGGGGGGCTTGGAGAGGGGCTGCCATCTGGTGACATTCACTGCCCAGGGACAAAGGCTTTGTGTTCTCCCCAAGGCAGAGAGCAGAGTGAAGAGCGATGAAAAGCGACTTTAGAGTTCCTTTCTTTAGATTCTACCTGTGGCACAATTATAAAATTTACCACTTTTTAAGTGTATAGTTCAATAGTGTTAAGTACACTCACATTTTTGCCCTACCATACCACCACCCACCTCCAGAACTCTTTCCTTTTGCAAAACTGAAATTCTACCCACTGAACAAGTTCCTGCTCTCCACTCCCCCTCAGCCACCGGCAATTTCCATTGTACTTTCAGTCTATGAATTTGACAACTAAGTACCCATGTAATAGAATCACACAATATTTGCCCTTCTATGACTGGTTTATTTCACATAGCATAATGTCCTTAAGGTTAATCCACATAATAGCATGTGTCAGGATTTTCTTTCTGATTAAGGCACAGCAACATTCTGTTAAACACATAAGCCACATTTTATTTATCAACTCATCCATGGACAGACATTGATTTGCTTCCACCTCTTGGCTCTCGTGAATAATGCTGCTATCAACATGGGTGTGCAGATAATGCTCTGAGACTCTGCTTTCAATTCTATGGGGTTTGTACCCAGAAGTGAAAGTGCTAGATCATCAGGTTATTCTATTTGATTCTTTGAGAAATTGCCACACTGTTTTCCACAGCTGCTGCACCATTTTACATTCCCACTAACAGTATGTGAAGGTTCCAAGGCTACCCCATCTTCATCAATACTTGTTTCATGGACGTTTTTTGGTTTTTATGTTTGATAGTAGTCGTGCTAATGGGTAGATATGGCATCTCAGTGTGGTTTCATTTATACTTCCCTAATGATTACTCATGTTGAACATCTTTTCATGTGCTTGTAGGCTATTGTATATCTTTTTTGGAGGGTTCAGTAAAAGCTTTGGAAGTTAATGAGAGGGGAAGGAATGACACCAGACTTAAATTCCTTTTAAAAAGCCAAAGACAAGACTTCTGCTTGAGTTTATACACACAAACACATTTTAAGTTAGAGAAGAAAAAAATGTCAAATAGCCTTTCCACTTGGGCAGCAGCAGGAAGTCTAATAGCTCATTTGAGTCTATTAAACCAAGGCCAGCATCTAATTAATGAGGCTGAAATGGAGCCTGATATGCAATGGCCACTTACTTTATAATGGGCAGCTCTCCCATGCATCCAAAAGAGGGAAGAGCCATGGGTTGCTTGGCTCCGTCTCTGACACTGGAGCTGGATTGAAAGACCCACCTTTTTTTTTTTTATTTATTTTTTATTTTTTGATACTGGGGATCAAACTCAGGACCTTGCACTTGCGAGACAAGTGCCGGAACCACTGAGTTAAATCCTCGGCCCCTAGACCCATCTTTTAAAAGTTCAAAATCTGAAGTGCTGTCTTTTCTCCTCTATTTTTTAGTTATTTATTTTGTAACTTAGGGAGTTAACAGGACTGTTGCCTCTTAAACCCTTGCAATGAGATGATCAGAGTGAGCCTGTGCATTTATTTACTTTTGTCAAGACCAAGGTCTGGTGATGACCCAGAGGGGAAGGGCTCCTGACCTCTCTTTATCAGCCTTTGTGGTCCACCAGTGCACACAGCACAGCCCCCAGCTCCCACAGCATAGGAACAAAATGGCCAGCGAGAGGCCAGCTGTCAAATGCTCCCAGAAACACAAAGGCCAGGACTCGAAACCAGAGAAGAACTCCGAGGTGGGGGAGCTATGCACCAGCAGCAGGTTAGAACCTAAATGCATCTTACTACACTTGAAATTAAATAGCTTAATCCTTTATATCATGTGATATTTCAAGAACAACAGCATGAGACTCCCCTCTTCACTGGATACTGTCCACCACAGGCTCGGGCACACCTGCAGAACTGGATGAAATCAGCTTTGTATGTTGGAAGGCTGATCTGGACCCTGACCAAAAGCAGGAGTCTTCCCTACCGGGCACAGCTGAAAGCCTGCTGCACACCAAGAGGATGCAGAACTGCCTGGACAAGGGCAACCAGGCAGTGAGGGAAGCGAAGAACAATGTGCATCTTTACAGAAGCCTAAGGCCAGCCAGCTGTTCAACATGTCTGGTCAACTCTGGCCTCGAAAAAGCAAAACCCAAAAACAGACAAACTATGGCAGGTAAGAATGTATCCAATATTTCTGAATAATGTATTGACAGGAAGGGGAATCCCTGGGGAAAACTATGTAATTATTGTCCCTGAGGAGTTTGACAAATTGGACAGATATGTACCTGCCATGCTTCAGCTATGGTTTTTGTGTGGAACTAAGAGAATAAATAAACCCAATTTTCAGCAACCTCTGGCCCCAACTCATCTATTAAGGTCATTTTATGGTGGTCAAGTTTAAAAACTTTTTTGTTGATAGGAAGGGAGCTGAAAATAAACAGATTTCCAGATTTTTAAAAAAATACTTAAAAAGGGCCTGGTATGGGCCGGCGATTTAGCTCAGTGGTTTTGCCGCCTGCTGCGCAAGCACAAGGACCTGAGTTCGATCCCCAGTACCAAAAAAAAAAAAAAAAAAAGGGCCTGGTATCTGAAAATAGCAAGAATGTACAATAAATGTGTATACAAACTTGCAATGATACATCTTAAGGTAAGGTATACTAGCCTGCAGTAATATGTATTAATTAGGTTATACTAATACGTAGCAAAGCCCAGAGCTGAAAGAGCGGTGATACAAACGAAGTCATTCTGGAATAAATAATGTGGCCCTAAGACAGTAAATATTTAGCACATATTGTTTTACTCTCTATATACTGTATTATTTTTTCTTTATTATATAACCATAAGGGCCAGGGATTTAGCTCAGTGGTTCTGCCGCCTGCCTCACAAGTACAAGGCCCCAAGTTCAATCCCCGATACAAAAAACAACAAAAAAAGCCAAATTAACAATATTACATAACCATAATAAAATATTAGAATTTTTAAAGTTGGCCACAATCTCATGAACCTTTTAAAAAATCTAATTTTTCATTTTGTGCATTCCCCTCATTCCCCACTCAAATATGCTATGCAGCTTTTTAAACTAAAATCACAAGCAACAATGGAAGTTTTTCAGATTTCAAATTGTGATCAATTACCAAACCAGAAATGCCCAGCCATGTGGAGGAATTTCACAAATATGCCCACCACAATCCCAACAGCTACTGTGACTTACTGAAAGCCAGAGGAAAATTCCTCCCAGGAGGAAATTCAAGATTTGCCTTATCTTCACCCACCTTAAGGCTGGGTATACCGAGGGGTCACAGTCCTGAAGTCTCTGTTCCCAGGAATACAGGGTCTGCAACAGGTAATGAGAATCCCGGACTCAGCTCTGTGTTCAGACTGAGCTGGCTGCCCAGATGGAAAACAAGAGGAACCTGCGAGTGGGCAGACAGTGCTGTGAGGGGCCTTCCAGGAGGGCTGGGGTCTGTCAGGCGGGGGTGAGCGGAGCTGAGACCACAGCACAAAGGCAGATTTATGGCTAGGATAGACAGGAACTCAAGTTCTACCATCAGGAGACACCGAGAGCATTCACATAATTCTGGAGCAATTTTTGTACTCAACTAGGACCTTCATTGCCCAAGGCAAATCCTTCAGACAGAGACAAGAGTCAGCTAAGTAAAGGGGTAACCATCACAGTATCTACTTGGTTCCCTTTACTGGGAAAAGTGAGGGGAGAGCTTCAATCATTAAGGAGACAAGTCTCAGAATTCAGTCTGGTTTTGTGTCAGAGAACACAGGTTAACATGTCTCTTGTATGGCATATGAGACTGTGGGCAAATTGCTTACACTTTCTGGATTTTATTTTGCCATTTGGAACCTGAAGATAAATATATTCGCCCCACCTATCTCATAGATTGAGAATCAAGTGTTGAAATAGATGTGAAACCACCTGAAAAACTGTGAAAAGCAACACAGTACTATTATTAACTTTGAGCTACAAAGCTAATTTTGTGTACTGTGACATCAGATTTATTATAACTTTCATTTCATATCTTTCATTATTAATCATTAAATATTAAATATATTTATAGGTACAGTTGGAATTTTCTTAGTTCTATTGTTACCATGTGTCTGATTTTGATCAATTTGCCAAATTATTATACCATACAAAACTACCTAATTCGTAATGAGAAAATTAAAACAACAAATATGCCTCAAAATCTAAAACAAATGCATTCAGCTGTACCAAAGATCCACATTTGAACTCTGTAAATATTGTCCGAACCTGCCTCTCAAGTCAATGAACTGCACTTCAAATATATGAATTGAATACTAAGACTTGAAGGAGCTCAGTTCTAATTATAAGAAGACTTGAATCCAATGTGTGTAACGAAGCAAGCAAAAGGAACATCTGTCTCCATAGGAATAGTGCTTAGGAAGAGTAATCCTTACAAATAGAGTAGGCAGAAAGCAAGC